AAGGTCTTACGAGGAAAGGTTGAGACAGCTAAGGCTTTTCTCTTTAGAACGACAAAGGTTGACAGGTGACTTGATAGAGGTATAGAAAGTGATCAGAGGTATAGATAGAGTGGACAGCCAGAGACTTTTTCCTCGGGTGGAGGTAGCTATTACGAGGGGGCATAGTTTTAAAGTGAGTGGAGATAGATATAGGGGAGACATCAGAGGTAGGCTTTTTACACAGAGAGTGGTCGGGGTGTGGAATGCACTGTCGGAGAGGGTAGTGGAGTCGGCCTCATTAGGGGCATTTAATCGGCTATTAGACAGGCATATGGATGATAGTATAAAGTGGGGGTGGAGGTTAGATAGACCTTAGGATTAGGGTAAATGTTTGGCACAACATTGTGGGCCGAAGGGCCTGTACTGTGCTGTATTGTTCGATGTCCTAACGTTAGGTTGCGTGGGATCCAGGGAAAGCTAGCTAATTGGATTAAAAATTGGCTTGATGGTTGGAAGCAGAGGGTGATGGTTGAAGGTTGTTTCTTGGACTGGAGGCCTGTGACTTGTGGTGTGCCACAAGGGTCGGTGCTGTGACCTTTGTTGTTTGTTATTAACACAAATTTTCCGGATGTGAGTGCACAAGGCATGATTAGTAAATTTGCGGATGATACAAAATTCGAAGGTATCATTGGTAGTGAGGAATGTTATCAAAAATCAGAGGGATCTTGATCAGATGGGTAAGTGGGCTGAGGATTGGAAAATGCAATTCAATACAGATAAGCGTGAGGTGTTGCACTTTGGAAAGTCAAACCAAAGTAGGCCTTATACAGTAAATGGTAAGGTCCTGAGGAGTGTTGTGAAACAGAGGGACCGAGGAGTACAAGTACATAGTTCATTGAAAGCGGCGTCACAGGTGGATAAGGTCCTGAAAAAGGCATTTGGCATGCGAGCCTTCATTGATTGAGGCATTGAGTATAGGACTTGGGACATTATATGACAGTTGTATAAGTCGGCGGTGAGACCACACTTGGAGTATTGTGTACAGTTTTGGTTGCCTGGTTACAGAAAAGACATAGTTCAACTGGAAAGCATTCAAAGAAGATTTACACAGGACTGGTGGGCCTGAGTTACAGGGAGAGGTTGATCAGAATAGGACTTTATTTCTTGGAACATAGGAGAATGAGGTGTGACCTTATTGAGGTGTATAAAATCATGAGGGGCATAGATATGATAAATGCATATAGTGTTTTTTGCCCAGGGATGGGGAATTGAAAACTAGAGGACATAGGTTTCAGGTGAGAGGGCAAGGATTTAAGAAGATCCTGAGGGGCAACGTCTTCATGCAGAGAATGGTGCACATGTGGAATAGGCTGCCAGAGAAAGTGGTTGAGGCAGGTACAATAGCAACATCTAATAAAACATTTGAATAGGTACATGGATGGGAAGAGTTTAGAGGGAGATGGACCGAATGCGGGCAATTGGAACTCGCTGAGTGGGCACCATGGTCAGCATGAACCAGTTTGGGTTCAAGAGCCTTTGTCCATACTGTATGACTGTGTGACTCTATGACCTCAAACTACAATGGGACCTTGACCAAAAGGACCAATGGGCCAGGGAGTGGCAGCTGGAGCTTAATCTTGAAAAATGTGAGGTGCGACAAGTTGTTAGGGAAAATCAGGGCAGGACATGCACACGTAATGGTAAGCTCCAGGGAAGTGTTGCCAAACCAAGAGGCTTTGGAGTGCAGGTTCATAGTTCCTTCAAAGTGGAATTATAGGTAGACAGGGCAGTGAGGAAGGTGTTTGATTGGTCAGTGCATTGAGTGTATAGATTGGGAGGTCATGTGGCTGCACAAAACATGGGTTAGGCCACTTTTGGAATACTGCATTCAATTCTGGTCTCGCCTTGCTATATGAAAGATGTTGTTAAACTTGAAACGGTTTAGAAATGGTTTACAAGGATGTTACCGTGGGTGGAGAGTTTGAGCTGTAGGGAGAGACTGAATAGGCAGTTCTTTATTTTTCCTGAATCAGCAGTTTTATATTTCCTTGGTGTGTTGGAGGCTGAGTGGACACCTTAACGATATTTATAAAATTATGAGGGGTGTGGATAAGGTGAGCAATCAAGATCTTCTCCCCAGGGTAGAAGAATCCAAAACTAGAGGACGTGGGTTTAAGGTGAGAGGAGAAAGATTTAAAAGGAATTGAAGGGGCAACGTTTACACACACACTGAGTGGTGTGTTTATGGATTGAATGCCATAAGAAGTGGCGGAGGCTGATAAAACTACAATATTTAAAAGGCTTCTTGATGAGTATATGAAAAGGAAGGGTTTAAGAGGGATATGTACCTAATGCTAGCAAGTGGGACTAGATTAATCTCGGATATCTGGTTGCTATGGACGAGGTGGTCCCTCGGGTCTGTTAACATGTTGGGCATCTCTATGACTGTATGACAGGAACAGATTGTGAGAGAATAATAATCTTTCACACTGCATAAACAGACAGACCTATAACTGCAGTCCCATTTTCACATTGCAGAGATTGACAGATATTCGGCAAAGTGTCCCTCAGTGAACCTGAATGTCTTAACAGTACATTGTTGCTCACAGCGTAATAAGGGAATCTCAGATAGTGATGAAACAAAATAATATTTTACACACAAAAGATTGTCATGAGCAGAATAAAACACATTGTCACAATTAAAATCTCACAGGTACTGTGTTCAAAATATCATTAAATGACAATAATCAGTTCAATTTAGAGTGAACTCGGAGTTTGATCCATGTATAAAATTTTGGTTTGCGTTTCACATTTCGTTACAGATCCTGACAGATCCTCATTGTGTCCCACACCAACCATTCGGAGAGAGACTAAATGTCATTATTGACATTGTTGTAAACTACCCAATCAGGAACAAGGCTTTCCCCCATCCTTCATTAGCATTGCTGACGCCGTCAGTCTATAAAAAGCGAGCTCCGAGCTGTCCTTTTTTTCTGTGTCTGAAAGTGACCGTCGCAAAGGCTGGTGAGAAGAAAGCGCAGCCAACTACCAAGAAGGGCGCGAAGAAAATCATCAAGAAGGCGCCGGGGAAAAGCAGCAAGAAAAGGAAACGTGATGAAGCAGGTTCACCCCGACACTGGCATCTCCTCCAAGGCCATCAGCATCATGAACTCATACGTCAACGATATTTTCGAGCCCATTACAACAAGCGCAGCACCATCAGCTCCCGGGAGATCTCGACCGCCATGCGGTTGCTGCTGCCCGGGGAGTTGGCCAAGCACGCCGTGTCGGAGGGTACAAAGGCGGTGACCAAGTATACGAGCTCTAAGTGCGACATCACATTGTACTGAGAAAAACACACACCCAAAACCAACGGCTCTTTTAAGGGCCACCCACAATTCACTGAAGCAGCTGAACCATTTTAAGTTTGTAATTGAATTTGGGTCTGTATAATTAATGTCTCTGAGCTTTGTGTTTCTTCTAATAAACGTTCTAAAGATTAACGTGTGGTCCCTGACTCTCTGTCCTTTATTCTCGGTTGCGGACATATCCAGTCTCTTTCCTTTGCCTGGATATTTATCGCCAAAGTCATTTTTCAGCAACTTCTATATGTTCCAGTTACTCTTTAACCCTTGATCAGGGCAGCAGCCACAGTGCCCCGTGGGGTATGATACTTGAGTTTCACTCTCGGGGGAGCCAAACTAACTGTTCGAGTCTCATGAATAGATTTTGCAGTTTACTCCTTTTTTTTTCAATTTTCAAAATTCCATGGAGGCTTGGTCTGATTTTTGCAGAATACTGTAAATGAGGCTTTCAACTGTCGGTGAGAGGCTTTCAAAATGAACGGAGATAAAGCCAGATTAGCTGTCGGAATGTGATACCAAGTGTGAAACTGTGGCTGAAGTCTGATCAAGGACAAGAAGGGAGGGCAACTTCAAACTGTTGTTTAAAGATTTAACGCGCTCACCCGGAACAACGTTGTTTGTGGTTTTACAAGTATATCAGGGTGCACTTGTAATGTGAAAGTGAATTAAATTCAAAGAAAAATTAAATTATTCATTTCTCTTTGCAAAACTTTTCCCTATTTCGTACATGTTGGAGGTTTTTCAAACTTGTATGAAGCCTGAATATCTCCCGTGGCAACGAAAAAAAAATGACCGTGTGATTTCTGTGTTGTTAAAATTTCCAAATCTCTGTGCATTTGTCCAATTTTTTTTTCAGAATGTGGGACTTTCTGCTGTCGCGCAGAGGCTTTCAAAATGAACCGAGATAGTCGGGAAAGTCTGATACAGCACAATAAGTGAGGGCCACTTTACACAATTGTCTGAAGACGGTGTTGCTTCGGGAGTGAGAACGAGAGATTGTGTGAAGTGCGCATTTGTAATGTGAAAGGAAATTAAATCGTAAGCGTTTATGCACTATTCTTTGTAAAACGTCTTCCTCGTGTTGTCCATATTGGCGGGCTTTTCAAATCGGAAAGAAAACGTACTGGCATCGCAAATGTGGAAATATTGTTGATCTAGTGCGATAGGGAGGGTGATTGTGAAATATTGTTTAAAGCAGTACTGCTCTCACCCAGAAAGCAATAGTGGTGTGATACTTTTATTGATATATCCGGGTGCTGATGTGAATTAAAATCAATTTTCAGCGGGTTCTTTCTTTTTGCTTCCGCTTAGGGAAATAAAAACAGCAAGATCAGAAATAGACAGATTCAACTAGGCCAGGGAACGAGACAGAGATTGTGTGAAGTATGCAGGTGTATTCTAAAAGTAAATTATCTGTAGTATGAACGCATTCTTTGCAAAACTGTTATATACATTTTGGCGGGCTTTTCAAATCAGAAAGAAAGCGGTTGATGATTTGGCGCCGGTATTTTCCGGCCTCCTCCCCGGGCCATTTCCGGATTGGTGCGTGAAGCAGATATCTTATTGGGAATTGAAGCGAGAGCAGGAGATACTGCACAATGTGACCAATCATCAATGGCCGCACCCCCATTCCTCCCGAAGGTATAAGAGGGTGGAATGTGGGCGTATTGCATCATTCTCTGTGAAAGTGGTTGTGAGATTGTGGCAATGTCTGGGAGAGGAAAGGGCGTTGGTGGGAAAGCTCGCTCCAAGGCGAAGTCCCGGTCGTCCCGGGCTGGCTTGCAGTTCCCGGTGGGCCGTGTTCACAGGCTCCTGAGAAAGGGTAACTATGCTGAGCGTGTGGGCGCCGGAGCGCCGGTCTATCTGGCTGCTGTGCTCGAGTATCTGACGGCTGAAATCCTCGAGCTGGCTGGTAACGCGGCCCGGGACAACAAGAAGACCCGCATCATCCCGAGGCACCTCCAGCTCGCCGTGCGCAACGACGAGGAGCTCAACAAGCTGCTAGGAGGGGTGACCATCGCTCAGGGTGGGGTTCTGCCGAATATCCAGGCTGTGCTGCTGCCCAAGAAAACCGCCGCAGGGGGCGCCGCTAAAAAGTGAAGAGACCGTTATTTCATCTGACAACCCAAAGGCTTTTTTAAGAGCCACCCACCGCGTCTGTGAAAGAAACTAGACACTCACCACTGCCGAGTTAATTTTAATTTTCTTTGTATTACTGAGAGACCGGTAACACAATATTCACCCCGCCATTATTGTTATTGTTAATGAGCTATAATCGCCGAGACGGATTGTATCTATGCGGCAGTTTCCTGTAAATTGCATTGGAAAGATCTGACACTGGTGGAGGAACACCAATAAATTTAGAAATTGGGAAATAAGGACCCCGGTAGCCGCAAAGCGATTCAGTACAACAAATTGTGGAGCTGGATGAACACAGCAGGCCCAGCACCATCAGAGGAGCAGTAAGGCTGACGTTTCGGGCCTCGACCCTTCTTCAGAAAATTCCTGCTCCTCTGATGTTGCTTGGCCTGCTGTGTTCATCCAGCTCCACACCTTGTTCTCTGTTTCTCCAGCATCTGCAGTTCCTCCTATCTCTGAAGCGATTCAGTATATCTTGACATGATGGTTTCGACTAGATAAAACTATTTGCAGTACTGTACCCCCTCCACATATGCTGCCTTTCCTCTTCTCGGGTCTCCGCTCTCAATGTAGGGTTTTGGGTGGCTCTGAAGAGAGAATGGCGGTTGGATGTTTAGCACTGAAGCTGTTGTTGAACGTGTGCTGCATTTTGTGTTGAATGTTTGATTTAAAGATTTGCGATTGTTTAATTTCTTTTATTTCAACATTGGGTTTTTTGATGAATAAGCTGAAACGAGTATTTAAAACAAACTAGCATCTAATCGATGGTTCTGGCGATTTAAATCTAGGATTACTGATACCAATGTTCATGGACTAGAATTTAATCTAGATATGACTGAACTGGAGGCTTCAATATCCTTTCGCAATTTCATGTTGTACTGTTTACAATGCTCCCTACGTGGCACTGTATCATATCACATGCAATCACGAGTAAATAGTGAATATGAGACATACACCTGCATCCAGCGGTGAGATGGCAGTGAATTAATCCACCCATGAGCTTTATTTGATTGCAATTCTCTTTTTTTTATTTTATATTTTAGCCAATCGAGATTTGAAAGTCATAACAGGTTAGTATGGAATTGGAGAAACTGTTTATTTGTGGAATGAACTCATATGAGTCGCTGATGTAGTTGACATCAGGTAAATGTGAGATGCTACTTTTGGAAAACCAAATCAGGCCAGAACTTGCACACCTTGGTGGGGAATGTTGCTGAACAAAGAGACGTTGTAGTGCAGATTAATTGTTCTTTGAAAGTGGAGTTGCAGGTAGATGGGATAGTGAAGAAGGCGTTTGGTATGCCTGTCTGTATTGGTCAGTGCATTGAGTATGGAAGTTGGGAGGTTATGTTGCATCTTTACAGGACATCTGTTAGACCACTTTTGCAATACTCTGTGTAATTCTGGTATAACTATCTGTAGTACTATACTCCCGCTTTTACAAGCCACCCACAGCATCAATGAAAAGCAGCTAGACCGTCACTAGTGACCTATTGGTTTTCTTTTTAGCACGAAGACCCGGGACTGTAACGAGACTGGTATAAATGAGGATTTTTGTATTTTTGAAGACTTGCAGAATGAGCCAAGATCAAGCTAGAACAGCTGGCTGGAATAGTAAATGTGGAGATTTTGCAGTGCGGGACAGTCACATGTAAATAATAGCTGAATGCGGTGTCCCCATCAATACACTGACAGGGAACAACATCATGGAATGCCTACATAGCAGAAAGATGCCATTGGAGTCTGAACCGACACTCCGAAGAGCATGTACCGAAGTCGACGAGAGGGAGAAGGGGAAAAGAGAGATTGTGTGTCCTAAACTTTCAAATCTTTTAAATGCTTTGGCGGGCTTTTGAAATTTACGGTAATAGCTGGGGAAACGCCGAGGTAGACAATAGGCACACACAGAGGCGTTTTATCGGCAATTTATAAACTTTTGCATACATGGAGTCCAGCACTTCAATTGTATTCACTGATTACTGCTAAAATCTCAACTTATAATGTGATTGGCCCTCGTTGACTTTTGTCTTTAAATGTGAATGAGTGTATCTCCTATGCCCATTCGGTCTATGTAATTGCTGCTGCATTGACACACTGCAGCTTCAGTACGCTGTGGGTTTATATGAAAGAAGGTAATAGCGCCGACCGCTTGCTGTTCTCTCTGCCAATCATAAATCTCCTGTATACAAGGAACCTTCAATTATGTTCTGCGATCAATTTATAACCGCTACTTGATGTTTGTCTTTGAATTAACGTGACAAATGCTTTCCTCAGCCTGATTTAATTTCTTCAATTACAGCCGAAACGACGCATTGCAATAAAAGAAAACCATGGGCGCATAGTAAAGTAACCAAGAGGGCCTACTGATTGCTGCAGTCTCTGGATGGTTTAGTGGCTCTGAAAAGAGCCGTTGTGTTTCTCGGGGATAATGTGCTGGGCCGGGCGCGCTCCCCGCGGATCCGGCGGGCCAGCTGGATGTCTTTGGGCATGATGGTGACTCGCTTAGCGTGGATGGTACACAGGTTGGTGTCCTCAAACAGCCCCACCAGGTAAGCCTCACTGGCCGCCTGCAGGGCCATCACGGCCGAGCTCTGGAAGCGCAGGTCGGTCTTGAAGTCCTGAGCGATCTCCCGCACCAGGCGCTGGAAGGGCAGTTTGCGGATCAGCAGCTCGGTGGATTTCTGGTAGCGGCGGATCTCCCGCAGAGCCACCGTGCCGAGCCTGTAGCGATGAGGCTTCTGCACGCCGCCGGTGGCCGGAGTACTCTTTGGTCGCCAGCTGCTTGCCTCCGGTGGATTTGCGCGCTGTCTGCTTGGTTCTGGCCATTCTCTCCAACTCTCTGTAACACACCTTTGGTCGCCAACTGCTTGCGGTACAGAAGCAGCAGTCGGCTCTGTTATTCGATCATGGCTGATCTGTTTCTCAAAACTGATGTGCCTTCTCCCCTGATCTTTGGAACCTTTTTCTTGTGAATACCTGTCCATCTCGGTCATAAAACCAGTATGTGTAGTTGACTGCCCATACCATAAATATGGTGGGAGAGAAGACGGACAGGTCAAGGAGGCGGGGATGGAGTTTTGGGGGTGGGCTGGTGTTAGGATGAGGCGTTAATGCCGACAACAGCCAAGTGAATGATTTGTTCTGCCTGTTCTCTCTCCTGGAACGCTGGGTACGAAATTAGTGTCTTTTCGAAAAGGATTGATCCAAAATTAAAAGTCGTGAAAGATGTGAAATAACCAGCTACAGTACGCTACACCCTCTCATGTGCTGCCTTCGTCGTGCTCAGGTCTGCGCTCTCAATCGGAGGGTTTGAGTGGCTCTGAAAAAGAGCCTTTGGGTTCGCTGGAAAAGGGTCGATTTGCTCAGCCGCCGAATCCATAGAGAGTGCGGCCCTGGCGTTTTAAAGCGTACACCACATCCATGGCAGTGACCGTCTTGCGCTTGGCGTGCTCAGTGTAGGTGACCGCATCCCTGATCACATTCTCCAGGAAAACCTTCAGCACCCCGCGAGTCTCCTCGTAGATCAAGCCCGAGATGCGCTTGACCCCACCACGGCGAGCCAGGCGCCGGATGGCTGGTTTCGTGATGCCCTGGATGTTATCACGGAGCACTTTGCGGTGCCGCTTCGCTCCGCCTTTCCCCAGGCCTTTGCCTCCTTTGCCTCTTCCAGACATCACGCTTCTTCACTCCAATCGCTGCCGAATGAAAGTGGCGCTGCCTCACCTTCCTTTTTTATACAGCCCGCCCCGACCTGACTGAGAATCAGCTGACACAGAGTGAGAGGCGGTCCCGACAGTTAACAAAGTGACAGCAGAGAAATATCCAGCTCCGCCTCCAGCTAACTCCCGCCCCCAAATGGATCTGTAATTAAACCTTTTCTCCACAAGGGCAGTGAGCATAATGCCCGGCAGAAAACCTGCAGACTCGAGTTTCACGTTCAAAGATTGTAAAAACTGGACATTTTAAAAGCAATTGTATTACAATTAAGCACCCATGTCTCGGCCTTTCTTTAACAAGAAAACACGGCCGCTTCCATTTCAATCTCAGTTTCTATTCCTCCAGCTGAATCAGACTAAGGTATTTCTTGGGATTGTGTTGTGAAGCGGGGTTTCTGTGCCAGTGTTCCTCTCTCAGAGACTCTCTCCCTGAATATGTGAAAAGGAAACGGAGATGAACTGAAACTGCACCCGAACCGATGCTCAGTGACAGTGAGAGGGGGACCTCACATTGATAATTTGTAGAATGTGGGAGAGGGGCTGGATGTAAATCGGGGCACGGCCGTGTGTATTTGAGTTATTCAAATCAATTAATATCTGAGGTATGTCTACATTCGGAGCCGGGACAGGGATCGTTTGATCCGGGATCAGCTCTTTCCTGAGAGATGTGGGTGGCTCTGAGAACAGCCTTTGGGTTCATGTGGTTACATGTTGTACCGACTGGTGGATTTCTTTGTTGCTTTCTTGGTCACTTTCGCTTTGGCCTTCACTTTATTGAGCACGGCCAGTGATTTCAATTGTATTTGCTCCTCCTGCCCTGATAGCGAACAGTAAATCTCAATCTCAAATAGAGTTCAGGAGTTCAACAGTAAACACTGGCACACAGATCGTGGAGTTTCTCAGCATGATGGATGGTAGCTAACCACTGGTCAAGGTGAGTGGGTGCCCGGTCAGACTTTCTGAAAGGAGAAGGAATAGTGACTGTCTCTGCTGTAATACAGGAGGATTGTTTTCAGGGTCAGTGCTACATGTCCAATTCTGTTCTCCATCACTCACAATAACCGATACAATGCCAGACAGAGTTGGGATTGTGTGTTGCCGTAATGGAGCTTGCTTTTAGGGTGGATGGAGTGTATATCAAATCTGATCAATGAGCGAGTGTAAAACTGGGTCACAGTGTTGCACAGTAAGGCATCCTTTGTTAGTCTGACAGTGCATCAGTATTACAGGGAAATAAACAGACAACTCACAGCAGTATCCCGGTAACACATAGCACCCTCCCTGCGGACACACAGCAGCATCCCTGTGAACACACAGCAGCATCCCTGTGACACCCAGCAGTATGCCTGAGAATACACATCAGCATCCCTGTGACACCCGGCAGTACACCTGAGAATACACAGCAGCATCCATGTGAACACAGGGGAGCTTCCCTGTGACCACATGGCAGTTTCCCTGTGAACGCACAATGACATCCCGATGAACACATGGCAGCATCCCTGTAACACACGGCAGCATCCCTCTGACACACAGCAGCATCGCTGTAACACACAACAGCATCCATGTGAATACAAAGCAACTTCCCTGTAACACACAGCAGCATCCCTGTGACACATGGCAGTATCCCTGAGAATACACGGCAGCGTCCCTGTGAACACACAGCAGCTTCCCTCTGAACACACAGCAGCATCCATGTGAATACAAAGCAGCTTCCCTGTAACACACGGCAGTATCCCTGAGAATACACAGCAGCATCCCTGGAACACACGACAGTTTCCCTGAGAATACACAGCAGCATCCCTGTGACACATGGCAGTATCCCTGAGAATACACCGCAGCATCCCTGTAACACACAGCAGCATCGCTGTGAACACACAACAGTTTCCCTGTAACACACAGCAGCATCCCTGTGAACACACAACAGCATTGCTGTAACACACACCAGCATCCCTGTGAACACACAAAAGCATCCTTGTAACATACTGCAGCATCCCTGTTTTGCGAAGCATGGTCATTAGTTATGTTCATAGCTGGATTACACTGAGTTTAAGTCTCAAAGTATGACATGATAGAAACAAGAGGGTGTCAATCAGAACATGAATCATTGAATATGATTGTGTCTGATCAGGAAGTTCAAAATCTCTTATCCACTATATTCCAGAACTTTTCACATCATTGATATTCAATTTTTTATTGACCTCTACTTTTAGTTTACTCATTGATTGAGCTTCTACAACCGCCAGGAAACATATTTCCCAAGATTCATTTCCTGTGTAAAGAAAACCTCTTTGTTTCATTCCTGAATGGAATCCCTGATCTTTTCCAATTAGTGCTCCAGGTTCGAGACTCCTCCTGCAGGGCAGACATATAGCCTGGACCTACCCTGTGTATGCCTTTTGGTGTTTTGGAGGTTTCAATGAGACAATCCCTCATTCATCAAAACTACAAAATACAGATCCAGTTTCTGAAACTCTCTCCAAATGCTGTGAACTGTCATTTCCCTCTCAATATGGCAACTGTATCTTTTCTTGTGAATAAGGAAACCAAAAAATGGATCACTATTCTAGGTGCAGTCTAACAGCTTCTTATGGAATTGAAGCAAGACTTCATTTCTCCTGCACTCCAATCTTCTTTTATTAATGGCTTACATTCCATTAACCTTCCTAACAACTTGCAAACCAGCACTTATGCCTTCAATGACCTATTGACAAGGACACCCAAGGACATTTGTAAAGCTACACTTTCAACCTCTCGTCATTTTGAAGTTAATCTGCATATCTGTCTCTCCAACAAAAGTGCATGACCTTACCATTTTCCACATATATTCCATCTGTTATGATCTTGCCCAATAACTAAGTCTCTTCAAATCCTCCTGAAAATGTTTGACAGTTTCCCACATCATACTTAGTTTCGCATCATCTGTAAATTTGGTAATAATGCACTTGTTCTCAAACCACGGATACTTATGGGTTTCAAGCAGCACCTACTCACCAATGACCTGCTCGCTGATCCTCAGTTTGTGTTCCATCAAGGTCACTCAGCTCCTGGTTTCATTCTAGCTTTTGTTCAAACATGGAGAAAAGAGCTGAATTACAGAGATGAGGTGAGAATGACTGTGCTTGACATCAAGGCTATATCTGATCAAGTTTTGCATTATGGAGCTCCAGAGAAACTGCAGCCATTCAGAGTCAGGAGAGATCTCACTCCTGGTTGTGCTTGTTGCAGGTCAGTCGTCGTGGTTCCAGGACGTCTCTGCAGGAGTTCCTCAGGGTAGTGTCCTGTGCCAAAACATCTTCAGCTGCTTTGTCAATGACCTTCACTCCATCATAAGGTCAGAAGTGGGATATTGGCCAACGATTGCACAACCTTCACGTCCATTTGTGATTCCTCAGGTACTGAAGCAAACCACGTCCGAATTCAACAAGATGTCAACAGTATCCTGGCCTGGGCAGGAAAACAACAAGGTAAGTTCAAACCACAGAAATAATTGACACTGTCCATCTCAAAT